ATGGTAGTTTATGCTGAATAACCTGCTTTCTTTTGAGGAATCTGTTGTGTTGGCACATGTTGGGAAGGGGCTTATGTGACCAGCCCCCAGTAAAAACTTTTAAAGTGGAGTCTCCAATGGGCTTCTCTGGGCAGAAACATCACACACACTCGTGTGCTGCATTTTTGCTCCTGGGGGAAGATGGGCATGGATTCTTCTAGTTCTGTTTTTTTTTTTTTTCTCCTTATGACCCGACTATGTATCCTTACTATGTCTCCATAGGAAGTCTCAGCTGTGGGTATGAATATATTACTGTAGTCTGCCTGGTTTATCTGGTGCCACTGGGGCTCCCTGCTGGTGCTGCCCAAGGTAGCTGGAGGACTTTTCTCTCTGTGAGGGAGGGGGTCCCTCTACCGAAGCTCCTCTGGCTGGAGCGGGGTACAATGAGGCTCCCTGGACCAGTCTACTTGCTGTAGCTGGGTCTCCCTTAAACAGGTTAGCTCACACTCCTCTATCTCTGGTGGAAAAGGGGTATCTCATACCATCAAGGAAAGAGAGTGTTTCCCCTGGTGTTTATTTTTGGCCAACTCCCTGTTGTGACCTCTCGCCAGATCTTGTTAAAGATCGAGCCTCCCACATATGTCTGGACCAGGCACTGAAGAGACCTGTAACCCAGAACTGTCAGCAGGCATAGACATAAATCCCAAGAAAAGTCTCTCCTCTCTGGACAAAGGACCAGGAAAGGGAAGCCCACCAGAGACCTAGAGGGAGCTGCAACCCTCACTCCACAACTGGGCCATGGGCTAGCAACCCAATCTGCCCACAGTGGTAGCTTCAAAGTCCTGATAGGCTGCTCCTTGCCCGCCAATCCACACCTGGAGCATTGATGGGTGGGTTGATCCACCTGCATGGACAGCGTTGAAGCTCTTGGCCAGTTCAATTCCCAGTCTACACTCGGAGCACAGAAGGGCAGGCATTCTACCCACAGGGGCAATCCCATCATAATCTGTGTCTTCCTGCCCTACACCAAGTAGCATAAGGGGCCACTGGCTCTCCTCACTCCCTGCAGAAGGTGGCCCAGGGAAGTGGGTTCAGTAAGGAAATGATTAGCAGTCCCAGTAGTGCCAGAAGAATGAAGTAGACCAGAATAGCATTCAAGGGCTCAGAAAACTAAACTGTCATTGGACTATAGCCCACAAAAGTAGGCCAACATTTATGTGCTAAACCTAAACAGGGTGACTGCCTGCTAAAATAAGTTTAAATAGGATCGAAAGTATCCTAACATCATAACCCAAATGCCCAGGATAAAGTAGAAAATCACCCATAAGATACGTAAATCAATAGAAATAAACCCACACATACATGGTCAATTGATTTAAGACAAAGGAGCCAAGAATATACAATGGGAAAAGGACAACTAGATCACAATCTTGTACCATACACCAAAATTAATTCAAAAATTTTTAAGACTTGAATGTAAAACCTGAAACCATAAAGTCCTAGAAGAAAACATAGGCTGTAAGCTCCCTGACATTGGTCTTGAAAATGATTTTTTTTTGGATATGACACCAAAAACAAAGGCAACAAAAGCAAAAGTAAATAAATGGGACAACATCAAACTGAAAAGCTTCTGCACAGCGAAATGAAGACAACCTACTGAATGGGGGAAGATATTTGCAATCTATATAAGAGATTAATATCCAAAACATATGAAGAACTCATACAACTTTATAGCAATCAATCAACCAATCAATCAATAATGGGCAGAGGATTGGAATAGACATTTTTTCCAAAAAAGACATACAGTGGAACAAAAAGCACATGAAAAGATGCTCAACATCACTAATTAGCAAATGTAAATCAAAACTACAATGAGATATCATTTCACACTTGTTAGAATGGCTATTAAAAAAAAAAACATGAGATAATCAATGCTGGCATGGGTGTGGAGAAAAGGGAACCCTCATGCACTAGTGGTGGGAATGTAACTTGGTGCAGCCACAGTGGAAAACAGTATGGAGTTTCCTCAAATATTAAAAAGAGAACCACCATGTGATCCCACAATTTCACTTCTTGGTATTTATCTGAAGAAAATGAAAAAACAAACTTGAAAAGATATAGGCACCCTCATATTCATTGCAACATAATTCACAATAGCCAAGCTATGGAAACAACCAAAATGTACACCAGCATATGAGTGGATAAAGACATTGTGGCATACATATATACAATGGAATGTTATTCGGCCATAAAAAAGAATGAAACCTTGCCATTTGTTACAACGTGGATGGACCTTGAGGGCATTATGCTAAGTGAAATAAGTCAGACCGTTTACTACTCATAGAGCCAGGTAGTCTGTAGACTACCAGAGTCTCTGCTCTTATCCATGTATAGTTTTGCATAGTATCATGCTGCCTCTTTGAGAGAATTACATTTATGTCAGTGAGAAATCTCAATGGGCCATCTCTGCCAGAGCTGTTGCACAGCCTCCTAACTGGTCACTCTGCCTCCTCACCCATCTTTTTGTACAATCCTATGTCAGCAGAGTTGCCAGGAGGATCTCTATTTAAAATGCAAATCAGATTGCTTCATGTCCCAGCTTGAGACTCTCCGGTGGCTCCCCATCACACTCAGAATAACGCTCCGCCTCCTTCCCTAGACTACAGGTCCCTGCCAGTGTTTTCAGATTCCTCTCCTCCTCCTCTCCTGCTCATTCACCAATATCCACCCTCAGACTTCCTTACTGTTCTTTGAACTCATCCCTGTCTGCCTCAGGCCCTTTGCACCTGCTCTTTACCTAGAATGCTTGTACCCCAGATGTTCACTTGGTTAGCTCCTTTTTTCACATTTCTGCTCAAAAGGCATCTTCACAGGGAGGTCTTCCCATGACTCCATTTTATTGTCTTCAGATCAATCTTGCTATTGTTCCTTTTTTTTAATTGTCTTTTCCCCTCACTAAAACTGACAAGACGAGAGGCCTTGTTTATCTCATTTATTGCTTCATCGCCAGTAGCTAGAACAGGGCCTGACTTACTGTAGTTACTGAAATACTGGTTGAATGAACAAATAAATAAATGGATGAGTTATACAGTTTTCATTACCTGAAAACTGTAGAAATAAAGTTTTTATTTTGAGATCTAATTTTTTAAAGGAATTTGTCACACAAGTTTTTATATAAAAGATAACATATAATAAAATGGAAAACATTTTCATCAGTATAGTTCATAGATTATGAACAACAGTATACCATTTATGACATTTCTGCCTTCTATTATATTATATATAATATCTTTAAAATGTGGAATTTGTAAGGGAGTTACCCTTAAATCTTAATGCTTTAAAAAAATCTTTTAATTGGCCAAGACCTTAGACTTTATCAATTATCAAAAGTGCATTGAGTAAAGAGTACTTGAAAAGTGTTTGCTGGGCTTATCTCATAAATAATCCAATGTCTCCTTTGTCCTTATCTTTGTCCCTTGATAGCCCTCCTCTTCTTTGCTTGAGGATACAGCCTATTTTTCCCCCATAAAGACCAATTCTAGCCCCTCTATGTGACATAAACCCAGACACCTCAAGATGCTAAATACCTCTCACCCCTGCTGAGTGCCAGTCTTGTCAATTGTTTTGTGAATGTGTACAAATCTCTGCAAACTGTCTGCTGGTTGACTGTTGGGTGGGCGTTCTGAGGCAAACAGAAAAGCAGATTCTAGCCCAGCCTTTCAGGAGAGTTTGGGTCAGTAAGTGAGAGAACACATTTACACAAGAAAGTTCTAATCGTCACTGAAATAAATCTCTCCCTTCCTTAACTTCTCTATTTTGGTTGATGTAATTTTTCCATCTTTGTGACTTAGGGATGAATAAGAGTTTGAAGAGGAAGAGCTGGCTATAAGCAGGACATAACGACTCCACTTGAGGTTGAGTTTGAGGTTTTGGTGGACTGGGCTGAGTCATCTTTGTTTCCTTTTTATGACACTGACTCAAACAACCAAAGACCCTGTGTCAAGATGTCTTTCAGATCTGCCTCCTCAGGGGTTCAAGCTTATCCGAATGATTGGGGCAGCCTCAGAGCCATCTCGGACCATCGCCCTCTCCTTCCTAGTGTGCTTCCTGCTCTGTGCTTCCAGACAACACTGGGGACAGGAATAAGCAAAGCTCCATGGTGTCTTCCCTTGTGGAGTTTCCCATGATGATACCACCCCATGTCTCAGAGGAATCCTCAAAGGTTTACAGATACCCCGCCCCCCAGCCTCATGTTTAAGGCCCTTTGAATTCATCGTCTGGCTTCATCCTGTGCGGCTCTGCACTCTCCCACACAGCAGGTGCTTCTGCCTCCTCTTCCCTTTGTCTTTGCTCACATCCCTCCCTAAGCTTGGCCACCCTCTGCTCTCCTGTCTCCCTCCCTCACTTCACCCTCTCCACTTATCAAATTTGGAGGCTGTCCTTCATAGCTTAGCTCCAAACACACGTTCTCGTTGGCCCTTCATGTACCCTGCCCAAGATGTGTGCTCTGTATGTCTGAGTTCTCATGGGACCTTTTGTACACTTTTGACACTCATCACTCTACACTTGGTATTGAGTTCGACGTGTAGCTCACTCCCCTATTAAACTATCAGAGAGAAGAGCCCATGTCTTATCCATATTGGTGGCTTCTCATCCCTCCAGAGCCATGGGTGCTAAAGGAAGTTTCAAGAAAGAAGTGGTCATTTCTGCCAAATCTGGCAGAGAAATTGAGAAGAATGAAGATTCACTCAATGAAAAACGGCTTTGACAATTAAGATAATGATTAAAATGAAAAGTATCTAAGGAAATGAACCAGAAATGCATTTCTCTGCCCCATAATGTCGTCAGGGACTGATTTCCTGCCTGTGTCAAAGGCATGTCGATATGACATATGTTTCCATTGTAAGAAGGATTAATGGCAGAACAGCCAAAAAGTCAGTTAGAGTCAACAAAAATATGAGTGGTTCTAATATCAATTAGGCTGTGACTGATATCCAAGCACTCAAACAATAGATACTAACCTGTGATATCTTTTTTCGCCCAGAAGGTAGCAATACTGGGCATAGAAGAAAGAACTTTTCTTGATACAGATTCCATCATAATGATACCTGGAAAATAAAGGTTTCTTAAAGATTATGTCAAACCACGAGCATGCTTTATAGAAGAAAGTGAACAGACTAGCTAATGAAGACCAGGGGTTCTTTTCTGGGTTTTATCATTGACTCCTTTTATTAGGAAAAGCTAATCAGTCAGTCATTCAGCCTGTTCAATCTCTGTTAGGTAGACGATTTCATTCTATTTCACACACATCAGCTTTGAAATGTTTGAAACGTTCAGCTTGCGAATGTTCTCCTCTGGGGTCCCAGTTTATGACACTCTAATCCTAGAGAAATGGAACAGGGAGAGTCCCCTGCTGCCACCGTTAACAGTCCTCAAATGAGGTGAAGCTACTCTGAGGTTTCTTCTACTGGGAACTGGACTCAGTGAGGAAGCTAGGGCCTTCTCTGCAGGCCAGACACTCTTCTACCAAGCCCAGGAAACCACAGCAGACTGTCTAGGCTCATAGCAGCAAACAAAAACCTTTTCAAGTGAAATGTTCAGCATTGGGTTTGGTGAAATTTTCCACTGTCTTCACTCCTTCATGAGTGTCCAGGCCTTTTCTAACTTGGCTTCCATTCCTTCTCACCCATTTCCTGATCTCACTAATTTTGTCCTTTTTAAAACAAACAACAAATAACAATAATAATTGAGTGACAGTTATAACACTATACACCAGTAACACTGGAATTTCATTTTGCGTTAAAATGTAGCCTGGGTACCTAATCTCCTAACTTTAATTCAAATATACTAATTAGAAATTTTAGCTCTGAGAGTAATTAAAACAGTTCTATTATTCTATGTGTGTAATTATTTAACTATTTCAACAATTAGACATTTATATATCTAAATACTTAAGGTGTTAGAACAAAAAAATAAATTGTGACTTTTGTATTTTAACAAAATCCCTAAGAAAATAGAAACTAATATTTGGTTCCAGCATCGTGACTGAATTATTTCAAGCACTAGGATTTCATCTGAATTATGGGAACTCTTTGGTTAGAGTTGATATTTTCAGTTTTTTTGTTTAGTTTTGCATTTTTTGGTCATCCATTTTATGACTTTTTACAAAATGTTTGTTGTTGACATTTAAAATAAAACAAAAATGATAAACCTACCTGGCACTTCCTCTCGTGCCTAGTCTCCGGGTGCCAAGATCAGGGAAAACCAAACGCACGAGCTGAAAGAATAAGCCAGATTTAAAGTTCCAATTAAAAAATTTAGAAATAAAACTTCCAATTTCTTCTCTTATAATGTTTAAATTGTATTTCTCCTTTCCTGATGATAAAGAAAGTATATGTAAATGAAATTTTAAAAGGTCAGACAAATAGGAAGAGGAAAACATTCCACTCAGAGGAAACTGCCATTTAAACCTCAACGTGCTTCCTTCCAATCTTTTTCCAAAGCCTTAGTTTGTGTATTTCTGTGGTTTACAGATGAAATAACTGGCATTGCACCATTAACACATTTGCAATCTCACTTTCTACTTACTTCTGTCCACACTGTACCATAAACATTTCCCATTGTCATTAAGAATTCTCTGAAAACAGGGATTATTAACAGTTGCATAATAGTCCATCGTGTGAGTGTCCATAATTTTACTGTTTTCCTCTTTTTCCAATGTAATCATCATTTTCACTTTTTATTATTCATTTGTTTACCTAATTTTTTCACTTCAAAGTTTTCGTTAGCAAATGCTATTACAATATCGAATAACATAGCTATTTCTGATTCAAATGCTCATCTACCAGTTATCATTTTGATGCACATTTTGTTAGATAGCACTGATATTATGTTTATGATCATTAAAAAAATAAAAATCTGTTCCGGTTTCCTAATTATAAGAGGTCCATGGCATGCATGATGTTCAAGAGCACGTCTGTTGAAAGTGGAAATCTCAGAGCATGGTGAAATTACAAACATACGGAGCATGGAAGCCACGGTGTTCTGCACAGTCAAGTAATGATTTCTGCTAATTTTCTACAACCCCCACCATCATCACTCAGCCTCCTCTTCTGCTTGGTTTCCTGTTGCGCCCCTTTCTTTTTTTCTTAGCTTTCAAGTAGCAGGATTTGACAGTGTGGCGAAACATTCCTCTTGTCTGGCTCCAGGCCATACCTCTTCCTACAGGAAGCCACCCAGGGAGGGTGTGGAGGAGGCAAATGAAGGAACAGGGAAAGTAAGTCTTGCACAGTTAAACCTTGAGGTTGGGAGGCCAAACTGACAGGTTCCTTCAGAGAGGGAGAACCCAAATGTGTAGATGGAAAATAAATGGTAGGAGATAAAAGAAAAGTCAACGAGATGTAAATGCAGAACCAGAAGCCAGAAATTCCTACTTGCAACAGATTCTGATAATTGCGTCTCTTCTTAAGAAAACTCCTTAAAACCTTCCCTATATGTCTAGTTGTAAGATACTAGGTACTGAACAGAATTATTGTAAATTACACAACAGGCTTAGATTCAAGGCCCTGGAAAGCAATCTGGTGTTTTGGAGTGAGAAGCAGAAATAAATTGACTAGTTGTCTGGCAGTATAATAATCAGTACATTTTATTTTACTGAGTAATTCCAACCCCAGTCTATGCTGTGATTTCATTTTATGATCAGGTATACCACAGTTAAAATTTAAAAACCATCTGAGATAATTATTTCCAAACAATGTAATAAGTAAAAAATGTATATACTTAATATATAGAGAGCTCACATAAATCAATAGGAAAAACACTGATATATCAATAAAAAGGGGTCTGGTGATAATATGTGTACACATAGATACATATGACCAAAACACATGCAAAAGTGCTTGTCTTCCCTAATCACTCAAGAAAGTGCAAGTTGAGACAACTAAATATAGTGCTTACCCAACAAATATGCTAGGTTAACAATATTATGGCTTTGGGTAAAAATATCAAGAACTACCATGAGGGGTATGAATTGGTTGCATTGTCTAGAATCTCTCCAGGGAGATTACTAGATACAGATGGAGATTTATGATACTTAGAGTAGAGAAAAATTATAAATGAACTAAATTTTCAATAAAGAAAATGGTTAGATGAATTCTAGAACATCCTAAAAAATACTTTATAACCATTATACAACACATAATTAAAAATATTTTGATGTTAAAATGTTCATGATAGTCTAAGTGAAAATAGGCATATAATTATAATAGTTAACATTTTGGGGGTGCTTCCTATTTGCCAAGCCTGTGCAATTCTCTTTATATTAATTTCTTAAGAGCATCTCATAAAGTAGGCGTTATTATAACATTACAAATATTCTCATTTTACAGAAGATGAAGTTAAGGCACATAAAGATTAAATAACTTGCCCAGGCTTTTAACCTAATTAGTCTGATTACAGGCTTAGTGATGTTAGAAAGTATATCATCTGTGCATCTGTCTGTCTGTCTGTGTGTCTGTCCACCTGTCTGTCCACCCGTTCATCCATACATCAGTCCATCTATCCATCCAACTGCATAGTATCCACATAGGAAGAGGCATGAGGACAATAGGCAGGCAAAGTGAATTGTGAGACACATAACCTAGGGGACTCGCATCCTCAAACATTTGGCTAAAATTTGGTTTTAAAACTCAAAAAAGCCCTCGACTTGAATCATCTAGAAAGAAGTAGAGAGAGGAGGAAGTGTGAGGGGATTTCTTGTGGCAAGACCACCCCCTCACCTGTGAAGAGTGTATGGAACCTGGTATGGTCCTATCACCTTAGGCCTATCAGAAGGGGAATCATGGATTCACTCAAGAGCTTATTGTAAGGCCCCCTCCCTGCAGGTAGTGTCTGACCAGGGCACGGAGCTCCTGGAGGATGGGCGATGAGATGGCCAATGGTCTGGGCTAACAGGCAGAGGAGAATGGCCACTGGTTTCAGCTGGCACACCCACAGTCTGCTCAGGTCAAGGATGGCTGAGCGGTTTCTGTGACTGGAAGCTGCCACATGTGAGAAAGAGCTGAAGCCACCTGAGCCCAGACTCTGCCCAGAAAGGGCTCAGGACGGGTGGTCAGGCTTCGGCAAGAATCATTTACCAACGCAAGGGATGCACACTAGAACATTTCCTGGGGGCTGCTCCGAAGAAGCCACAGAGGGAACCAGAGGATGAGAGTCTGCCTGGCTCCCAAAGCATGAAGCCTCACAGTAGAAACTGTCCATGCACTTTTACCTATCCCATCCCAGAGGGGTCAAACCAGCACCCAGTAAGGTGGGAGAAGGAGGAAGAGGGAGGGAAGACGAAGACCCCACACCTAGTTCTCTGCTGGCAAGAAACCACACTGTAGATGGGCAAAAAAAACTTTAAACTCAGTTCAGAATATAGGACTGGACAGTCTAAGCATCAGACACTGTTCAGCAAATTAGAATGACAACGGAGCTTTGTATCACCAAGAATTTCTGGTGTGGTCAAGCTGCCTTCTCAAACACTCATTCAGGGGCAGGAGAATCACCCAAGGAGCAGATCCAAAGGAACATGGAAACAAAGACGAAGTCACTGTGTGATTACTCCCCCTGGCTCCTGCTGGTCACACGTGTGCGCACTTGTGTGTGCAAGCATGCAGACGAACCACACACATGGCTACATCTCCGGACAGTGAGGCCATAGCCAGTACTTATTTATTTCTTTTATACACGTTTCTCTAATTCTCACATTTTCTCTAAAGGGAGTCTATTACTATTATAATCATAAAAAGGTCAGTACAAGCTATTTTGAAAAAGGAAGTCAGCGTTACGGAAATTCCCTCATCCACGTAAGATTATCGCTTGCACCAGGAATGAGCATCACCCATCGTGTGCCCGAGACTGCAAAAGGGAGCAAGATGCATTCCAACATCTGTGCAGGCAACCCTTGTGGGATCTGGAATCAGCTCCATTCCCAGGAGAAAAGGGAGGAAATGAGAATTAGGTATTTTGTTGTGTCTCTTGTAAACATGCTTTGGGATCATATCCTTTTCCCCTTCCTCTCCCTTCTCCATTGAGTCACAAATTCAGCAGCACGGTGTCCCTTCTTCATCTAAGCTCACTGGAGTGGCCCATTCTTTAGGCAAATTCTCAACAAAAGCTGGGGGAATGGATTCTAAGGGAGTATTAAGATGAAAAATGCTAAAGAAATGCCCACTGTCACACACTGGAGTCTCTTTCTAACTCCTTTGGAATACTCTGCAGTGGAACTGTGCTAGAGGTGAAACAACTGCTAAGAAAATCTAAAAAATATTTTGAAAAGGAGTCTTTGGTTTCTTAGAAAAGGAAGTGGAGATCATACAGAGCCACAGCATGTCAAGCTAGAGTTGCCCCGCTTCTATCGAATGATGCTGCCAGGCAGGGCGGATGAGGAGAGTGCTGTAGGGCATAGGGCAGATCAGTGCAAAGAAGCCAAGTGCCCGTGGTTTAAGGATGCACCAGAAGTAGAGAGAAGAACTGCCTAGTGACTTAGCCTCTAGTCATGGGCTGTCACAGATGGGAACCACCAGCCACGTGCAGCTAATGAGCACGGTGGCTAGCCTGAACTGAGATGGGCTTACGTGTCAAATACACACCAGGTTTTTGAGATTTAGCATGAAGAAAAAAATGAAAAAAGAACTCAATGACTTTTTAATATTGATTCCATAGTGAAATGGTAATATTTCAAATATTTTCGATTAAATTTTAAAATAATAAAAAATTATTGTCTTTAAAAGATTTTTAAGATGAGGATACTAAAATATTTAAAATTATGTCTATGGCTCCCATCGAATGTGTGCTGAACAGCGCTGGACTCAATTCTGTGAGGCTCGGTCAGACATGCAACTGGATGAGATGAGAAGCCCCTTTCCCTCAGAGCCCTGATCTCCTCCTGCTCTATTTCCCCCCCTTAGCAATTATCCCATCTATTATAATGAATATTATATCTTACATATCTGTCTCCCCCGACTATAGTAGAATGAGTTCAACAAAGGGCAGGAATTTTTCTGTCTTATTCCTTGTCTTATCCCCAGGATCCAAAACAGTGTTTGACACAAAGAGGCTGCTCAATAAATATTCATCGAATGTGGAGGGTCTCAAGTAGACTTCCTTCTGTGCTAGTGCTTGCTATACACTGTATGTTCTAAACAAAGTTCCGGATAGAGCTTTTAAGATCCAGCAAGTTCTCTGAGTGCAACAAATTGTGGGAAGCGTCGGCTGTCTGAAATGCAGAGGCTCATAGTAAATTGTGGGAAGCTGTAGGGAGCTAAAGCTCCCCAAATTCAAAAGAGTGCATGGATTGTCTCGGGAGGCCTGCTTGCATAAAAAAGAAAAGGCTGGTTCTGTGGAATTCCAGGAAGAAGAAGATTAAGTATAGCCTAAGGGAGTGTCAAAGGGAGTGTCAAAGGAAGTGTCAATTGTACCTGGATCTTCAGGATGTTACTTTTATTATGTTATTTGGGGATACACAAAGGAACAGATTGTGTTTAAAAGAAGGATAAGAAATAAACTCGGAGAGGCAGTGTGAGATCTGCTCTCCCTCCTGCACCCTGTCTGTCTTCTCTTTTTTCTCAGTCCCCGCTCCCCCATTCAGGTACCCGGTTTGACTTGGTCGGCTGGCTTCCGACAGGAAGCGTCGGCTGTCTGAAATGCAGAGGCTCATAGAACTTGTGCGTTGCTGAGTTTGGGCACTTCTAGGTGGGGATAATGGCCTGGCTAACCTGGTGGAGTATCTGAAGCTGCCGTAATTGCTCTCTGCTAGGTGTCACCACATTCTTTACCTTTCTCAGGCCCTTAACTATGAGGTGTGGACAAAGAACAGAATGGCTTTTCCATGGAGATGAAGTAGTATGTTAACCATCTGGTCAGCTTCCCAGAGCAAAGCCAGTCATACCCATTGAGAACCCATTAGGCCCAAACAAATTCTAACATTCCTTATCAATTAACTTGGTTACTTTTTTTTTTTTTTAAACTTGGTGAATACTGTATTTTTTTGTTGACAACCTACCTTCCCAAACGTGGCTGGGTTGACTTGGTTTTGGGCATTTTGCCCACAGGTCTCCACATAAATCTCATACATGAGGCAGCGAGGCACACTGTACCCTTCGCAAATGCAGAAATTGTCCACCAACCTGTGGGAGAGAAAGACGAGGAAGAGGAAATTGGTGTCTGTTTTTCTAGAGCAGGACATTTTGATCAGGATCAGCAATCAGACACTAGTGTGGGATCCAACTAAATGAAATATGTTTGATTTATTGACTGCAAAGTCTCACCAATCAGCATCTATACTCTATCCTTCTGTTCTTGGCCCAGAGTTAAGAATATAGGTTGTGGGCCTTTTGATTACTGACATGGTTAGTTTTGTTGTTGTTGTTTATATTTTTGGCATGTAGGTATATTAGAAAGAAGTCCCAATTATTTGGCTCAGGGAACATTGTTATTTAATGTAGCTATATAGAGGTTGCAGCCAAGATCTGTATAACTATAAAGTGTTGAATTATTTACTCTCTAAGGTATAAAACAATTCCTCCTCATAGTCTATTATCCCTGCAGGTGACTGCAGGGGCCAGTGTGGCTTCTCAGTCCCCATGTGCCTGTGACCCAGGGCAAGAGGGCACAGCTCTTCCTCTCTCCCCGTCTACCTCTGAAACAGTTGTTTGTATGACTTTTAAACCCAAGTGATTTAGGGTGGGTCACTATATTTTGACTTTTAAAATTACAATAAAATATAAAATGCAAGACACCAAGAGACAGAGAGGCAGTACACTTTCACTCTCCTTTATCTCCTGCTGGGGACAGAACTAAGTGACATTCAGATGTGATCTGCAGCAACCTAGGCCTCTACTCAGGGTGAGACCTTCAACTGCCCAAATGCTCTAGAGCCCTGGGGCAGGTGGGGATCCCCTGGCGACGAGGGACTCTGCCAGTGGCTCACAGCCCACAGCCAGCCAGTAGGGACAGCCAGGTGTCTGCTCCAGCAACAGGTATGTGAGTGTGTGAGGCCAGTAGTGAAGGTGACTGGGGTCACAAAGTGTGGTCCATAGTGACATCCAAGTACAACCTTCCCTTTCCTGGTTGGGGACATACTGTCAGTTTTTTCCCCATTCTTTTCAAAAAATACATAAGGCAACCAGCATAATTTTTAAACACAGAAAAATTTCTAACGCTTTACCAATAACATATCTTCTCCTTTCTTACTGATGACATACAGCTTATTTTCTGGGGTGCAGCAGGGTGAGGCCTAAATTTACTTTCCTTGAGAGCTAAAGACCATAGCTAACCCCATCGACTTCCTAGGAGAGGGAAAAATCAGTATGTGGGTGGTGGGGGCGACTCTCTGGCCCTGAATGCGTTTCCATCTCGTAACAAATTACCAGAAGTTGGGTGGCTTAAAACAACAGAAATTTATTCTCTCATGGTTGTGGAAGCTGAAAGTCCAAAATCAAGGTGTCAGCAGGGTTGGTTCCTTCCAGAGGCTCTGAGGGAGAATCAGCTCTATGCTTTTCTCCTCACTTCTGGTGATTGCCAGAAATCCTGGGTGTTCCTTGGCTTGTCAATGCATCACTCCAATGTCTGCCTCTGTCTTCACCTGGCTTCTCCTCTCTGAGTGTCCTTTCTCTCTTATAAGGACACCATCATTGGATGTAGGGCCCACTGTAATCCAGCGCGATTTCATCTCACTGGATTTCACTAATTATATCTTTCATTTCACTAATTACATCTGCAAAGACTCTGTTTCCAGATAAGGTCACATTCTGAGGTTCCATATGGACATGCATTTTGGGGGGCATTATTCATCTCAGTACAGGCCCAAGGAGGAGATTTTCTGAGATCCCCTGTGACATTACTGTGGGAACCTGACACCTCAGGTATTTCACAGTGGTTTAAATATAGCTACTATTGCACCAATTATTTGGCTCAAGGTTGAATAGAGGATGATGTCTATTTGTGGAGTGGCGAATTTGTATATCTAGGTGATATGTACATTTCTTTAGTTAAGACACCGTTTGTTGATATATGAACTCTATCCGAAGTATCACAGACAATTGGCTAAGCTTGAGGAGCTGCAGCAAAATGTGACAGGCATTAAGTTCAAACTCACTTTTTTAAAAAAAATAATTTATTTCAGTCAGTTTCAAGTATACAGTACATTGGTTAGACATCTACAATGTTCATAAAACAATCCCCCCTATTGCTCCCTCCCACCCCTGACCCTCCACTTAGCCATCATATTAATGCTAACTGTGTTCCCTATGCCATGCTCCCCATCCACATGACCGACTATCAACTACTAACTTGTACTTCTTTAACCCTTTGCCCCATTCTCCCAGTCCCCTGCCCCTCCCCTCTGTCCATTACCAAATTATCCACTATATTTGTGAGTCTGTTTTTGATTAGTTTGTTCTTTTTGTTCCTTAGATTCTGCATATAAGTGAAATCATAGGGTATTTATCTTTCTCTGTCTGACTTATTTCACTCAGCATAATAACCTCTAGGTCCATCCATGTCGTTGCAAATGGTAGGATTTCA